CCCCTCCACTCAGCATATTAAAAACCAAAAGTACAATGCCATGGCTGCTACTTTGAAGGAACCCAAATCCTTGTCATTACACATTAATAACCAATCGCGCACCATACACACACACACACACACAAACACACACACACACACACACACACACAAACAACACCATCTTAGACATAGAGAATAATAAAATGCTACGCCCTTCCGATCTTTTCTTTTTCTTCTTATTGCTTTATTCCCCAATGTCATGCTTTGCAACAGCGCAGAACTTGAGCTCTCTTCATAAAAACCACACACTGCCAAGGTGAGACAAAAAATAATGAGAAACTTTAACGATTTGTGCCTAATCTTTCTCCCTCAACTCTGCACATATTTATGCAAAACGTCACAGGCAGAAAGCAATTGGAGTGTTGTTTTGCTTCCCCCCCCCCATGAAAGTTAGCTATCAAACTAGCTGGGGCGGCTAATGTTTTTCTAATAAGAGCTCACCTTTAATTTCAGTCAAACGAGGCAGTTAGTGCAGATTAGCAGAGGCAATTTTCTGCTTCAGATTCCATTATTAAAACACTCCTGCTATCAGAAAGTTTCTCTTGTTGAATAGAAAAAAGAACGAGTTTTTTTTCCCCCTTGAGTTTGGATTAATACCTTGAGGCTATTGTTGCCGTTATCTCCTATTCTTAGGGAGTAATTCAGAATGCCGACCAGCTGTGAAGGTGCAAAGCCAAACACAAACCAGTCGTATAATTTTAATCATGTGACTCTTAGCAACTGATTTTTAGCAACAGCATCATCTTAATTTTTTGTGCAACAATATGAATTCTCAAGAGCTTACAAGTCCTCTCCATTCAGTCTCCCATAGACCTAATGTCCCTTTTATTCTGAATGAGAGGCATTTAGCTATAAATCTTCTATCCTGTATCTTAAGGCTGTTAAGTATTTTAATTATAACCTTAACATGGTTGCAACCATGTTTGTCCACTTTTATTAACATCAGCTAGTGAATCATATAGCACCAACTGAATGATGGATCACCAAACATCATGCAGACGTTTTGCTAACAGTCAACCTCCTGAGCTTCAAGTTGCGTGGCACCGCATGACGTGGCTGAGGTAAAAATGCAGATTGTGATGGTTGCCATGGGCTACTGTTTGTCCATGCAAGCTGCAAGGGTTATTTGTCATTTAATACATCACTGTCACATTCTCTGTCTTTCTCTCTCAGGTTGCATTCACTTCTCTTTTCATGAATATTCTCTCCGCCAGTGATTTATTTAATCCTGTCGCTCTACCCTCCACTGCGCACACAGCCACACACACACACATACACACACAGACACACACACACACACACACACTAAGACCACACAATACACATACCAATGCAGAGAAATTTCTCCCACAGTCGTGTGTGCGCGCGCGTTTTTATCTCATGCACGCACACATGCAGTGCATTTACAAAGCACAGATCACACACACACACACACACACACACGTATTATGTGTATTTGTCAAGGCAGGGACTACTGAGCTCATTCATATGTGAAGGAGGCATGATTCTGTAATTGCTTTCTGGGATGGCATTGGGGCAGCTGTGTGTTTGTGTATGTGTATGGTGCATGTGTATGTAGTTGTGTGTGCGTGTGTGCGTGCCTGTGTACGTGCACATGCATGATTGCGTATGCAAATGTCAAATGGTCAGCTTCCCAAAATAAAAAGGCATGTCCCGTCATGTCAAGTCTTGATTTGACATGATGGATTATGTGCCTCCTTATCAAATTTAACACTAATTCTTCCTCTTTCCGTCTCCTCATCTTATTATGCAGCCTGCAAAATTATCGCAGGATACCATCATGAAGTTCATTATAGAATAATATAAAGCTGCGACGACAACTGGCACAGTGTTAGATGTTTTGCTAAAATGTGCATTTAAAAAAAAACCCTTAGATAATAAATGTCTTCGAGATGTCTTTCTATTTGGAGTCAGAGAGAGAGAGAGAGCAGTTCTGTCTCGCTCTCTTCTGTTGTTTTCTAGGTTTCTTGATGTTCAAAATACTCACAAAAAAAAACAACGCTGCTTTAGGATGTAATAAAAGTCGTAATGAATTTAAGCATTCAGAATTCCATGACAAACTGCTGGATGTGATATGATTGAAAGCTTCAATCTTCAATTAAATGGACTCTGAGGTGACGTTTTGCTGTCATATTATATTCCATTTTGCACTATTTTCCATTCAGTTCTCTTGTGTTTCATTCATATTTGTTTCTGTTCAGTTCCATTCCAGTGTCTCCTTCGCTTTTCCGTTTTGCTCTGATCTATTTTGTCCTAAAATAAAATTCAACAAGAGAGACCATGTGAAGATCCCATATAAAAGTAAGGAAACAGCAAAGCAATGCAAGCAGTGAACAGATGTGTGTCATGTGTGATGTGGTAGGTGAACACCAATAGGAGATGGTTCTAGGTAGGTGTCAGTTGTTGGAAGGAAAAGACACACTATCCAGTTTTTATATTCTGGAAGGTCCAAATAAACTAGATCAGCTGACAACCCTCCGACGTCTACCAGTGGCCTGTTGAGATTTGCCACGTTGGCCTCTGGGGCAATGGGAGGCTCTCAGAATGATAAGTCGTGTCTATGTGTGTGTGTGCGTGTGTGTGTGCATATGCATATCCCAGTGCTTCCAGTTATGAGTTCTGTCACAACAGCAGGTAAATTACCACAAGCAACAGAGCACTCAAGGATTACCCTCTTGTAGGATTAGCATTCACTACCTGTACGTGTGTTTTTGCGTGTGTGTTTATGCCTGTTTGTGGGTGGGTGGGGGGTTTGGGGCGCGGATGCGATTGTGTGCTTTTGTCTACGCATGTACTGTACTGTGCGAGTCAGATAAAAAGAAAAGAGAAAGTTTGACTTTGACTCTTAAGCTGCTTTGTTGATGCATAATTCATCTCCACTGGCTGCACCTTGAAGCCTTTGAAACTATCTCAGCTTCTTCAGCTGCAACTAAAACAAACTCCAAATAATCTCAAGTGTTTTTATTTTCTTTTGCTCATCGTAAGATTTATTGACACAAACCAGAAGTTGTTGCTGCCGGTCTTGCTGTGTTTTCAGCAAAGCCTAACTTTAAGAAAACACCTACAACACTCCCCTGTGTCTTCCTCTGTGTGGCTGTAGTTGTGCTTTTCATTTGTAAATCTGGTAGTTAGTTGTTGTGTTTTTTAAAATTCAGTGTCTCAGAAGGAAACACATACTTTTTTCCCCCCATCTTTGACGGAGACTGAAGGTGTAGATTTATATTGTAGTGACTGCATATCAGTGTTGCAGTAGACACATTTTAAAGTTTAAAGCTCTTCATCTAAGCATTACATTTACTACCTTGATCATAACCATGAAGTCTGTGAATAAAAAGCAGACTTTTTCCTGCAAGAGGAAATTCTTACCTCTTGAAGGGTTTTAACTTTGCATTAAATGAAAATCACTAGTGCCAAGATGCAAGGAATTAAGAATGAAAACTGTTTTTTTTTTTAACCAGTTTATTTAATTTAGGTTTTATTTACTCAAGCACAATAGCCATTTTTGTTCATCAGATGGTAACAACAGGCAAATGCATACATTTCTGTCAAAGTAGCAAAGACTTATTGCCTTTACTGGATGTGTATTTGCTGTCACACATGGTTACATCCCTAAAAGACACATTCTGAAAAAAACAAACAAAAAAACCCCTGACAAGTTATCAGAACACACACACGGAAATACATTTCTTTCAAGGACATTTTATTTAAATCGCAAAACTAAATTTACAGTTGTAATTATTTTATTACATTGCAGTGCTACAAGATCCCATGCTAACATTATGCTAAATAGTTTTAGACTTTCCTTTAAAAATGCTTTGCTGTCATCCAATGTTGTATAAAAAAAAAAAAAAGTTCAATCTGCAACTGACTGGTAAGAAATGGTGTCAATAACATGCTACTGAAATACTATAAAAACAAAAAAGCGGGGGGGAGGAAGTCATATTCATATTCATAGAAAATACAAGAAAATGGATCCTTACTACTTTTGCATTTTTTTTGGAGATCCAGAAAATCATTCCCTGATCCTCCTCTGTCCTGCTTTTTTTAGACGTACTGATTGTATGAGTACCCCAGCACTGCTACCCAGTCAAGCTTTAAAAGACATCAGCGCACCTGTATAACAGTTCAAAAAAGCTGCTGTAATTTGGTGTGAACAGGTCGTCCCTGTGTCTCTTTATTTTGTACTTCTGGAACCTTGTTCATTAGAGACCTGAGAATTGTCTGTTGCACGTATAAGAGACTCATTTAGTCACTTGCGACTCAGCCAGGTTAAATGTTATGTTAAAGACATTTGGCAGGAAACGCTTAAAGTATGTTTTAGGGATGCTACTCTGGCCTGGTTTGATTAGTGAGCGCAGGACTTTATATTTGGGTTTTATATCTTTTCTTCTATTAGGTGAGTTTAAAACTTCTAGTCAGAAGTCTTCCTTTTGTCAATATAAATTTCTTTCATTTAAATTGCATACACTGCCACCCTCTCATTCCTTTTGTTTGGCCTGTGTAGATTTTTTTTTGTTGTCACAAAAACCTACTTCTCATTAAAATCACAATCAACTTTGGTTCAACTGCAACCATCTGGTTGTTTATTTGTTACCTCCTTTTCCCTTAGCGAGCTGGGTCGTAACAATCTGTTTCATGAAATGTATTTTTGAAAGACAAACACAAAGTTAGAGAACAAATAGATCTCAGTATGCGACAACAAATGAACAGTGGGGAGTAATAATTACCTTTTTTTTGTTGGCATGTATGTCAACACAGAATAACTGATACAGCCCTACTGGTGGTAACACCTGGATCAAGATATACAAGAGAGGCTCCTTTGAAATACAAAATCAGTGAACTGACAGAAATGTACAGCATGGTGATGGCAGCCAATACAGTCACTGAAGACATTCCCATCACGCTGACTGAGCCTTCTTCCAACGCTCTGTTTCTAGGCCCCGGCAGACGGCATCTTTGTGCACTGAGCTGCAGGCCAAGGTGCTCCAATGCTACAGAGAAAATCCACAGCAGACTCTGCAGTGCTCCAGTCTAGCCAGACAGTACATGACCTGTGTCCAGCAAGCAAAGAAGGTAAGAGAAGGTTACGTACTGTGTGTGGGTGTGGGAGCACGAGAAAATAAAGAAAATATGTCCTTATCAGCTTGAGTGTCTTTTTGAAGGATATATCGTTTATGTGGGTGTATTAATCTGTTATATATGTGAATGTTTGTCTGTGACATCGTACTACTTCCAATTAATTTTCTTCTCCCATAGTTTATTCTTCCTTTCACAGTCTCTTTGAGTTACACCCTTGGCCAGAAAAATTGCAGGGGCTCCCTTTCTTTTAAAGATAGACTTATTTATTTATTTTTTATTTTTTTTCAATGCATCCGATTTTTGAAAGAAGGCTAAACATGAGGAAAGCAGTGAATTAGTCAGACCTGGAAGGAGCTTGACAGTGACACTGACAGTGGAACAAAGGAGTTTAGAGACAAAGAAACCTTTCAATCACCATATCAAATCAGTTAACTTCTGAGAATTGCAATCTACATGTTGGTTGCTTTGACACTTCAAATGGGAAGTTAAATCAATGAGACATGCTTATTGAGCGGATTTATAAGTCACCAGGAGCGAGCTGTGTTTTGGAACTTTCTGATAGGAAGATTACACAATTATTAGTGAATTAAAATCAGTTTAGGCATTCAGCGCTTTGAAATGCATTCTGCTTTCCGCTGATGCTTTTGCGAATAGTGTTGAGACGCTGCGCTTATCTACAAAGTGCTTATTTTACCCAATTTCTCCATCAAAAAACAATAATGAATGGGGCAATTTGCACATTGTTATCATGACAAAAATGCACTGATAGGGCTCCAAAGTAGATAAAAGGCAGAAAACAACAATTGGTGATTTTGGCAGTTTAAAATGTCGATAAAAGCAAGGCAAAGGCTCACAATAAAAGCAATCAATCTTTTAAAACCGGTTCAAAAGAACCATTTGCCAGTGGGATGGGGCTCTTCGGGGAAAAACAGTGTGATATGTGTTTGTACATGAGTCCATTTTTTGTGAGCATGTGTTATATAAATTCAGATTGGAAGTGTTTGTGTTTTAAAGAATAGACAGTATGGCGGAGTAAAGGCAAGCTGTTTCTCTCTGCTTTGAGGCACTCGTTTAATTCAGATTCAATCAGGCATATCTTTGACAGAGTGAGTGTGAATGAGAGTCGAAGAATAAAAAAGTGGGAGAAAACACTGAAGTGGCAGAAAGAGAGTGAGTTAAAGGTCAAATGAATGAAAAAGAAAGCTTCCGTCTATATTAAACACAACAATACACTCATCCCTCTGTGAGTTAAAGTGTTGTGGGTAGTGGGGATAAAAACCAGAACTTGCTTTGAACCTCCACTGTCCTCTAAGGAAAAAAAGAAAAAGATTTTTTTTTTTACCTTGGAATAAAAAAGTGAATTTGACTGACATTCATGAATGCAATGTAGTTCTTTGTACAGAGCAGCTAAATATTACTGAGAACCTTATCCGACAATAAAATGATGGCACCAGCGATAGGCACTTTATCAACAGCAAACATAAAAATTGTTTGATAGTTTCACTGAAATGCAATAGATGTATACCCTTAATAGACATAATGAAAAAGCAAGGTTCAGTTCCATGAACAAACTCCAAGTGTTCCCACACTCTGGCTCATAATCAGCCTGGCCTGCGAGGTGTGTCAGAAAAGTGTCAGGACTGGTGTCACAAAAGATATATTTCAAATCCAAACTACAAACTACAAGTTTTCCCCTTCGAGGTAATCCCCCTGGAGTCTAACACACTATCCCAGCCTTCTCTGCCACGCCAACCATGCACTCCTAGAAGGATTCTTCTGGGATCCTCTGCAACTCTGTCGTCACAGCCATCTTGATGTCGTCCACGTCTTCAAAACGGGTCCCCTTGATGACCCCGTTGAGCTTGGGGTAGAGGTCTACCACTTGATTTTTTTTTTTTCCATAACCCTGAGAATCTTTTAAGAAATGCAAAATGATTGTCCAACCTCAGGAGCGATGGCACGTTGTGAGAGGCCTTGTTTATGCAGCTCAACAATCCTACCACGTTCAAAGACGGTTTTTTGCCTTTGCCATCAAGAGAGCTTCACAGTGTGATTACTTGACAGGAAATGACATGGAATCCAAATTTTTGCACAGATTTTGGCTTTTAAAGGTTGTGGTCTTAAACTTTTGATCAGCTGATGAACAGCCTATTTGAGTTAAACTGTTGTTTTCAATAAATTGCCTGCTCACAACAACCAAAACTTCAGGATCAAGTTAATGCCAGAATTTATTTTCAGTGGCAATGAAGGCACCAAAAGTACTGCAGCTGTCATAGGTAGCCAATTGGAGATTGGCATTTCTCCAGTGTGGTGTTTGTAGGTGGAGGTAGAACAACAGGTCAGTTTTTAAAAATCTTTCATGTATTTATTACACCTTGGCAATTTATTACTTGCACTCTGGGAACACTTACACACGGACAGCTGGGAATCGTAGTAGAAATGTAAAAGCGGCCATTGAAGAGTTTATTGTTGAAATTTTTTTGCACAATATTATTTTGTTTTAAATAACAGAAATATCTTTTACTGCTTGGAGGCTCCATTCCATTTTTTTTGTTTGTTTTTTTCAAATAACAGAGTTGTTGTTGAAATTAATACATTTTACTAGTTTGTTTTTTGCTGTGGTATTGAAACTGAATCACAGAGTTTCCGTTGTTTTAGTACCAACTACCAATTTTCTCTTATCGAACACTTACTGTGGTCTGTGGTAGAATGATTTTTCCGACCTCTTCCTGGGTCATTACAGGCCAAAATTTTGTCTTACTTGAAGCTAACTTCACATGTTAAAAATCCCAGAATCTGTCTACTTGAAAGTCATATGGTACTAAGCTGTTGCCTTTTTAAAATTTCACATGATTGCTTTTTGCTCTTTGGAAAAAAACAATTTTGATCCAAGACATTTTATCACTTACATCTTCTCTGTCTAACCTTTCTTTATGGGGATAATCTTACAGAGATAAAATCTTTCTTTTTAAGGGTGGTCTGTGCCACTCTTTTGACGATGGCTGGTTTTCAGGTTGACCTTTAAGACTTCTGACGGGCTCTATCCCAATCTCAGACTTGAAAAGACATATAAATGTTTTTAGATTTAGGTTATAAATGTGTAAATGTAAAAGATCCCATATTTAAGTGGCAGCAAACTATGTCTATCTAATACTCTATCCTTTACTGCTTTATTTCTCTCTTATCCACCAATCTTGTGTGTTAGCTGCTCATCCTTGGATCTTTTATGCTGCTGTCACTATTGATCCATTCCTTCCCTCCATGCTTCTCCTATTAAAACATCTTTCACTGAACACTTTGTCACATTAACCAGTGCATTTGCTCTGATCTACAGCGCTGACCGTGGAGCTCGCTCACGTCTTATCTAAGTTTGGCTGTGTATGTTTACCTCATCTCAGACCCACTGCTGTGTTTGTTGCACACAAATTCCTTGAAAGATACTTTCTGGAGACATAAATACTGCATATTTCATACAGACAACAAAGCCTCAATTTTGCCAATTAAGTCAGTGAACTCTGACAAGCGATTCTGATATTCTTCTGTAGTCCTTCTCCAATCTTACTTTGAAACTTCTTGCTGCTGTAATGAAATTGCATCCATATTATATAACTATCTCTATTTGGAGTATCTTTCACACCAGTGGCATGGATTTGTCATCGTCCTGTATCGCGCAAGGAGAGTAGACAGATGGTGTCAGTGAAAGTAGTGTGCAATAAGGAAATAGAAGCAGAAACAAAAGAGTTTTGATCAAGTCCAGAGGTTTTCCCAGGGGCACATAGGAAGGGGGTTGTGGACAGAGAGCTGTAAGATAAAGATACTATGTATGGTGAAAGAGACAGGTGTGTCCTAGTGTTGTAAATTATTGGGGTGATCATAATTATACTTTAGGCTCGCTAATTTGGCCTGCTTATCACCAGTTATCACCAGTGTCAGCAGTTACAGCAGCAGCAACATCTGTGAAACACAGCTGATGGCCCAGCTCCCACAATTTGCTGCAAAAACCTTACCCCTTTCTCTCAGAGTCATAACTCAGTCAAATCTGCACAAGCAAGATACATATTTGTCAATATCTCTGCCAATCATGACTACATGTTCATTTATTTGCTTGGCAGCTTTGTAGCTTGGCAGAGCAGAGCACTTGGACTCGAGTTTCACTCTGAAAAGTTTTGGTATTTGCTGCAGGTGGTTTCAGGGTCAACAGGGAGCAGTATGCACTGCAGGTTTAGTCTTGAGAGAGAGCGCTGGATCGTATTTCATTATGAAATATAATGCTCTGTAGATCCCAGAGGAAATATTTTGTTAAGGTTGAGACTGTTAATAATGAGGTGCCTGCGTGCTTGTTCCAGAAGTGGAGCAGAAGGTTTGATCTTTTTTGTCAAGTAGGTAATTTCATTCAGCAGGCATTTGCTCATATGCAGCATGAAAATTAACAAAGCAAAATGCGGCAATGTTTTGGAAAGTTTTGATTGTTCCATTTAGACAATATTTTAGATTTTGGTGTTAGGAGAAAATCTGCAGCCAACCTTCCTTTTTTGTTAAATATATATAAATTAATTTCAAAACAATAAAATCCAGTACATTAGCATGGGCAGGCGTACTTGCTCTTCATAGTTTTGTAATTTTGAAAAGACCACTTCTGCCCTCCACAGCAGTACCATACCAGCATACTTTTACGATGCACTTGACAGACAGAAAGAGGTCATTTTTGTTTAAACTAACAAGCAAAATAAACTGGCTGTTCACGAGCAGATAAAATAGCTAGAGAAGGCATGCAACATTTTGGGTGCAATAATTTTTCAGCTTTGTGTGACAATAACATGACTACTCAATAGACAGCAAAGCTTTTAGCCTGGTGAAAACCTCCCGACAGCTTAAAAGCTCTGCTCTTTTGTTATCTGTTTGTGCTTGTAAGGATTTTCTAAAGCAGATGTATTCTTCCCTGTGATTAAAGGAAGAATGCTGTATTTTTCTGACAAATTAATCTTAGTCTGCAG